AGAACTATAGCTTGCCCAAGGTCATCCAGCAGCTACAAGTGGAGGAGCGGGGAATTTAAAGGGAATAAATTTAATTCCCTTTAGATGGTTTTTGCAAGAAGGCGATGCTGACACCTTCCAAGGGGCTAGGCTTACCAAGTGCCGGCGGAGGATCTGCGTGTCTTGGCAGGATCCCTGCTGCGGGGACGGCGACAGGCGTTGCACCCGCTGTCGCCAGGAAGTGACGCTATGCGTCACTCTGGCAACGGGGCTGTTTGGAGTCCCGTTGCCAGAGTGATGCATAGCGTCACTTCCTGGCGACGGCAGGTGCAATGCGTGTCGCCGTCCCCGCAGCAGGGATCCTGCCAAGACACGCAGATCCCCCGCCGGCACTTGGTAAGCCTACAAGGGGCTGTGTCCCCAACGTGATGACATCACTTCTGCATAATGTCAGCATGTCGTGGACGTCCCCTTCCACCTCCAGGAATGAAAACCATATATGGTCTCCATAAATCAGTTGTGACTTGACAGCAAAAAAAAAATGGTATTTCCCAGTGAGTCATTTAAAAAGCAGGAGGAGGAGGTAGGGTTACCAACTGCCCAAAGGAAAAACATGTCCTGCCCCTTTAATAGAGGCTTCATAGGCTGTGATTTACTTTCATGTCATGAAAAGCTTCACCTGCCTTTTTCAGCACATTAAGCCTCTCTTAAAAGAACAGGACATTTTTCTCTCCAGGTCTGGCAACCAGAGAAGGATGAGCAGCGGAAGAAATTGATTGGCATGCTTTAGGACTGGTTGAGGTCCTGGTGCTCGCTCTAGTAGGAGCTTGCCCATTCAGAGCAACAAGGCCTCAGTGTGGAGGAGTCTTGAACTGAAGGTGGAAGTTTCTTTTGTTTCCTTGGCCCTGTGGTTCCTCCTTGCTGCCATTGTAACATATCTAAACAGGCCAAGTTCTTTTTCTGCTAGGTTAGTGGGGCTTTTTGAAAGAAAAGATAAAGACTGAAGGAGTAGGGATAAGGGTTGCCAGCTCTGGGTTTGGAAATACCTGGATATTTTGTGGGTGGAGCCTGGAGAGGGTGGGCTTTGGGGAGGGGAGGGACATCGGCAGGGTATAGTGTCATAGAGTCCACCCTCCAAAACATTTTCTCCAGGGCAATTGATCTTGGTCATCTGGATATCAATTCTAATAGTGGGAGATCTCCAGGTGCCTCATGGAGATAGATACTCAAAAAGGAAGGGAAATTGTGAGCAGGGGAGGAAACATTTGAAAGATGGGGTAAGATGGCATTTATCGGTATTAAAGTGGCTAATTTTTTTTAACAATCACTTGGTTATTTTGTCCAAGGCCTTGTTGGGTTTTTTGGTTGGGTTTTTGACCCCCCCCCCCAGGGGAATTTTTTTATTTTTGCATTTTCTACACACTACACACTACATATATGGAATGGGGAAAGGAATACTAATGCCCTATCACTATTACTATGGGAAATGGGTCAGGGAGATCTAGATACATATAGTCTACTGGATAGGGGAAGGAAAGCTACCATTCTGATCTAAATTTTCTACTGGATATGGGGATAGGGTAAAGACTAATACAAATCAAGATCTGAAAAGCTCAAAAAATAGATCTTTTAAACCTATTGGTACAGGTTATACAGAGATTAGTTTGATTATAAAGATATAAAGTTATTAGCTTGGCACAATTACTGCCCTTAGCACTCATGCTTGTTTTAGAGTCTTTTCTTCTTAGATTTCTTCATTTTCTGCCGTTTGGGAGCGGCCGCTCCTTTCTCCGATTCAGATGATTCTGTTAAGGAGGAAGTTTGGCTTGTTGAGTCCTGTGAGTAGGACTCCTCCTCCTTCTTCTTCTTCCTCCACATCCAGTTTTATTCTTTTCTTTCTGCTTCTTTTTTACATTAAACATTTGATCCATAAATCTTTCCGCTTTTGGAACAGAGTCAATTTTATTTTTTTTATCCTGGTAATTAAAACTCAACCCGGGAATAGCCATCTATACTGTGTTCCCTTTTTTTTTTGCAGGGAGAGGGTAAGCATTCTGTATAGTTTCCTTTGTTTTCTTACTTCAAATGAGATGTCTTTCAAAAAAAATTATCTCTTCATTCTTGATTTTTAAGGATTTCCCCATTGTTGACTTTAGCACCAGTTCTCTGGTTGATCATTTTGTGAATTATAAGTAGATTTCCCCTTTGAGTTTATTTTTCTTTATAAAACCCGGATAAGTCCTGCATGCCACATCCATTTCCTTAATTAAGTCTTCTTGTTTATAATCCATTAGTGGGGCCAAGGCAACCACCAAGAGTTCTTATCCTCAGGTATTCCATGGAAACGTAGAACATACATGGATCTTTCCAGCTGGTGCTGTATTAGTTGGGTTTTATCCGAGGATCTCTCCTTCTCTGCTTTGTCCACTCTTTTATTAATACTCTCAGTCTGTTTTTCCATCTTTTTCAACGTTTTCTCGGTTGCTGTGGTTCTCTTGTCCATCTGCTTTAACAGTTTCTGCACATTATCCAGTTTGGTGTTGAGAGTAGTCATCTGATCCATTAGAGGGTACAGTGCATTTGCTAACAACAAAGAGAAGTCTGTAGATGCTTCCTGGTTCTGGGAGGGAGTCGTTGGTATGTTATTTCCGGTCACCATTTTTTTCTCCGGCGCTCTCCACCCTCTCCCAGCCATAATATCAACAAGAAGTAAGTTTTCCAAAACAAAGCAAAAGTTGTACGTTTTAATTCTGCTTTGTATATTTTAGCAGCTTTTACATTCACTTAGGCTTGGTTTGGCTCAAAGTCTCTTTATTTTCACTTTAAAACCATTTTTACAGTTTACTCATATGGGGGGGGGCTTAAAATCTCCTCTCCCCGCACTTCCAACTTAGGTGCTTCCAATGACTACCAAGGCTCCATTCGCTTATTTTTCACCTTTTTTCACAGTTTGTAGCCTTGGAGATCTTTGGAAGTCTTTTTAGTAGTTTGGTCATGATAGCTTGCTCCAACAGTCATCTTTGGGCGCCATGCTGGCTCCCCAGTGATGGTACCTATCGGGGAAGAAGGTAAGCCTCAATTCCTTGGGCATCCCCTTGGAAGAGGCTCTCCTCAGCTCCCCAGGCTGGGGGGCTCCTTCCGAGACCCCCGGGGGGGGGGTCTGGGACGAACTCGAACCCCTCCCGTCAGCCGGATCTTGGTGCGTCTCCATCTGAACGAGACGAGACACATCCAAGTGGCGAAACGCTTACACCGGAAGTTCTGCCCAAGGCCTTGTTGAGTGGCTAGGCTTAAAATAAGTGTCATCTCTGACCAACATCTAAGGGGAGATGTGGCTTCTGGTAAAAACTAGCCCCATGTATCTTGCTCCCTTTCAAACTGAACTCCCTTTCCTGCCTGTTTTACAGAGCTGCATTGCAAGAAAAGAATGTGATAGTATTCTTTATGAAATATATGTATGCCAGTTCAAAGCCAATTCAAAGTGTCTGAACTGTCTGCCAAAGCACTTTTTAAAGGC